GAAGTAATTATCTTTGTAAAAATATCTAGTCAAAATGTTTTCCATGGATTTTAATTCCAGAAACAATTTCTGGAATATTTTCTCGTGTGAATATTCTTTCCTCTGGAAAATATTGTACTCAGAAACATTAATTGTTTTCAATTACAGTTTCACCTCACAGATGGAAGATAATTTAGCAAGTGTTTAGAACAGCTATATTCTTTTCTATCGCCAGACACATCAATGATCCGGCCATAACAATGCAGTGACAGTGCGTGCGAGTGTGAAATGTTTCACTTGCTTGATAACATAGTTGTAATAAAGTTGTATATCTATAGAGCGATCTTGTGCATTATATTTCACACTATATTTAAAACACATGTGCAAACTGTATATTGTATTCAAGGATCAAAATAATGCTTAATTTGCATGACATGGAACATTAAATATTGAAATGGCATGGATGAAATAGTTTTTAATATGCCCTGATGGCATGACTAAAACAAGAAAACATAATACTCACCATGATTCATTTAATGGAAACTGCAATAGATTTGACCAACTCATATGATTCAAAACATATCTTTGCACCCCATCAAATTGTTTATCTGTGGCACTCTCAGTCTCACAGCTTAACATGGGTGTGGCCATTTTAAATGCCAGTGAGCATAACAGGAAGTCCTGTTTTAGAAGATAACATAGTTTGTGGGTGAGTCTATGTGTCCAGGACAAATGAAGCTGAACTATTCTTCATACTATTCATGAAAGTGTTTCGGAAACCCAGCTCTTATGTTACAGGTTTACATGACATTTTATGATTTATCAACAAAATTGAAATGACATATTTGTGGTGATGTTTTATGTTTAACTGGAATATCAAAAGGTATGGGCACAATTATTTTCACAAAGGCACACCTGAAATATCTGACTAGTGCCCAATGGCACCTTTTAAAAACAAATTGCATTTCTGTCCCTGGTATTGCTTTGATTAAAGCCTCTTTAATCATGGCACTTAGGTACATTTGTACTCCCGTAATAATGCAGGGTATGCCCTCCTGTGATTTCAGGCGCACATCCTAGGCCAGTTCCACAAAGCAACTGTAGCACAAAGGTGATCATAACTCCCTTACTTTGACATAAACTTAAGGCAGTCGTCGTGCTACGATTGCTTTGGGAACGTGGCCGAGCATAAATTCAGGTTACATGCTGTAACATAATTGAAATACTGTTTGAAACAGGGTTACACCAAATTAGTTGCACTAGGGTAGTCTAGTGGTTGAAGCGTTGGCTCATCATGCCGAAGACCCTGGTTTGATTCCCCACATTGGTACAGTGTGAAGCCCATTTCTGGTGTTCCCTGCAATGATATTGCTGGAATATTGGTTAAAGCGGCATAAAACTAAACTTACTCACTCTCTTACACTACATTAACTAACTTTGTGATATTGGTAGAGTCCAGTACCACACCAGGCCCCATTCTAGATTCTGTGACAATCTGCGAGTACCTGCTCCAGATAAGTCAGTATTCCCTATATATACTGTGCTATAGGTTTTATATATTTTTCCTGGATATCAAAAGGAAGTTTTCACAAATAATTTTTCCCCTTTTAATTTCATAAAAAAAACCTTGCTAGTCACAAATTCATTAGTGTCATAACATTCATCTTGCATAGTCACCTGACACAATCCTTGTTTCTCACGATGTTTTTAAGATAACTTCAGGTTCAGCCTCTGTATCAGCTTTCTAAAGACTTTAACGTGATATCTAAAATATAAATCAGTGTTTTGGACATGACGTTCTGAGTCAGGTGCGACACAGCTCAGTATATCAAGCAGAAATCAATTGGCGGAGTGTTTTCTGTGATTATCCAGCCACCAGGTGACACAAGTTCTCTTTTATCTTGATTACTTTCTGTCCAGACATCAGCTAAATCATTTTCCGATTTTACCAAGGCATGACTTTGGAATTGCTTTGTAGTTAGAGGAAGATAAGTGAGCATTTCTTTAGTGAAACCTAACACCAGTGATTAATCTTCAAGCGAATCAATATGTTATCATATAAAGTGTTCTAACATCGTAGTTCATCATTGTTTTATCTTCATACCAATCAATAATTGATCAAATAAAGAGTTATACCGCAATAGTTCGCGTGTGTTGTTCCATATATATTATTAAATGTCAGCCTTCTGCTTTCAGCTGTCTCATCTATAATAATTTCATTTTATTTCTCATCTTATTTTGCTAAAAAATGTCTATTTTGAGAATGTTATATAAGAGCACTGTCACTTATCTGGAATAATACGTATATATTTCACTTTCAATCCCATTTCCGTCATTTCTGTTTTAGGTGTGATTGGCTTGGGGAACAAATTGCTAAGAAAATATTTTCCTTTTTTGACATTATTTCCTTGTAATGTAAATTAAAAAAATAAAACGTCAAAAGAACACCAGTTCATTTTGTTTTAGGATAACATCCATTTCTGTCGTATTCCCAATTTCATGGACGGTTTTGGCTATCCCGAGAAGTAGAGTCTGTTTGGTGTTGGTTTAAAATCAGTGATGACACCAGATGTTCATGTTAACCCTTTTCCGTTTGACTGCCTTGATGTCACTACTCTCCTTGCAGTTTACAGACACTTTGTTGAGCTGAATATCCGTGTTGCATTCAATTTTCAATTAATTTCAATTGTGAAATCTAGATTTCAACATGCCTGATGGTGTTGAACAGTTCAGCTGTTGTGGTATTACAACATTCAAGGCTCGGGTGACCAAGTTGTACACATCACTGTGAGTCAATGTCCAAAGTTGTGTCTCACAGGTGGGCTAAGATCCGCTGATATGGGGTTTGATTCCCAGTGTCACCTTGGTGTAACGGTTTGTCTGCACCACACCCATGCTCTTACTGTCATCCCAAGTCTGCCAGGATGTATGGAGGTCTTCTTGGATGTTAAAATTCATCCAAAAGGTCACAACAATTGTCAGTAAACAACACATATCCAAATGAGAAGTACAATTTTTCAAACTGATATTATTTGCCCTAAAAAGGCCCTTTATTTAGCAAAACTTGTCAAGTTATGATTTTCAGGAAACTAATAAAAATACCTTGCAATGACAGTTTATGATAAGTAATCTCCATCGCAAACCAAAACTTCCCCAGTACATCAATGTAGCTAAGAGTTATTTCCCCCTGATGGTCAGTCCCACATTTGACCGATCTTGTGTATGCAACTACTTATGTGTTATATGTGTTTCTATAGTTCCTTAAAATAAAATTGTTGCTTAGAACTTTAAAAAGGCCTTAAATTTGAATACCAATTGTTATTCAATTAAAATAATTGCTTTGTAGAGGTACAACAACTCTTTGTAACAGGACTATTGACAGTAAAATGTCTTTATGCCTGAATTTACATCAATTCACATCTGAAAACAAAAATCAAAAAAAAAAGAAAAGAAAGGAATGCCAGTTTTTAACAAAATAATGATATATTTCCCAGCGTGCCTCCCAAGGGCACTCTGTTTGAAATCAATTGCCTGCACCATGACTTCACAAATTGATTTGCAGCTCTTGTTTCCTGACAAAGGCTTTTTTTTATCTTTCCTAGTTTAAACATGTTAATAAGGAAACTTGGTCATGTATGCCTCTTGTATCCAAAAATATAAAAATAAAAATATGGTCGTTTAAAAAAACAAAACCAGATGTTCATGGATGTCTAGCTTAGGTTGTACATGTCCCACGTGCAACATATGTTACATTTGGGATTACGCTTTCTCTTTAAGCCTTGCTCCAAGGCTGTACATCCATGGATGTGTAGTAATTCTATCCTTTAAAGAGGCAAGTCTAGATAAGCGGACAGTACAGGACACCAGAGCAGTGGGGTAGCCTAGTGCTTAAAACGTTCGCTAGTCACGCTGAAGACCTGGGTACGATTCCCCACATGGGTTACAATGTGTGAAGCCCATTTCTGGTGTCCCCTGCTGTCATATTGCTGGAATATTGCTAAAAGTGGCGTAAAACTAAACTCACTCACTCGCTCACACTCACTCACTCACTCACTCAGAGTGCACTTGTCAGAGGGTTACACACAGTCATGAGATGATCAAGACCACCAGTTGTCCGACTTCCAGCTAGTGGAAGCGGCAGTGGCTGAGTGGGTTAGATCGCTTACTTTGTGTGCTGACGATTAGGTCCCTGACTCTGAGAGTGTTAGTTTCTAAACAATAATTATCCACTTTGAATCATGATTTAATAAACAAACAAGATTTTCATGATGAAATGTTAAGAAGCTTTGAGGTTCTTGAGAGTTATATAGAAGTTGGTATTCAAGTATAAGACAAAATATTATGGATGTCAACTTCTTCTTTATTGTATACACAACATTTCTGGGCTTTTCCTTGTCCCTTCATGAAATCACCTGATGAAGGGACAAGGAAAAGCCCAGAAATGTTGTGTATACAATAAAAAAAGTTGACATCCATAATATTTTGTCTTATAAAGAAGCTTTGTTCACATACCAGCCCAATTGATGTGATGAGAAATTTTTTAAAAAGTTTAATTTATGTGTTGACATACTGACAGGTAAGATCTGTAATACCTGTAAAGTCTGTTAGAATCCGTAAAGCAAGTGGAAAAAAGGGTTACCTTAGGGAGTTCACCTGATGGATGGATTGACAGGTCCTTTCGCAGGGTGGTGTAGTGCATGATTTGATTCCGTTGACATTGAAAATTTCTCCTTTCCAATCTCTTTTCAGGCAGAAACATAAAATATCCAAAGATTATATCAATACTTCTTTGATTGACATTCTAGAAGTTGAGATGAAGAATGAGGACAATTTTATGGATATACAACTTCTTTATTCTGTGTAGGCAACTTCAAGCAATTAGTGACAACGACACTAGGATCTATGTCGAAACGTCGCCTATACAGAATATAGAAGTTGTATATCAAAATAAAATTGTCCTCATTCTTTATATCAATACTGATTAGATACACAGGTTTATTTGTATTGTATGTTGTTTACAGATGGTACAGAGCACCCGGAGTTGTTGTACGGAGCCAGGAAATATGATGAGGGTGTGGATCTGTGGTGAGTGTGTTATCTTCAACACTTTCATGTAACCTGTTAATAATAAGAATAATAGTCCATTTATCATGTGCATTGCTCCATGCACAATGCATGCTCAAAGCACCCAAACAATCTGATTATTATTACCCCACATAACCCAAGCTGCCTGGTAGGCGCCAGAGGGTTATAGTTATACATGCCAAACATGGTCACCCATCCAAGGACTCTCCGCGCCCAATGTTGCCTAACTTCACCTTATTTGTGACCTGAGCTCCATGCACAAGACCACGTGCCACCAACCTGTGCTGGACTGGCCAGCTCGGACAAGGAATAGTTTTATCCCCCGGGAGGCATCAGACCAAATGATATTTAAAGATGGTACTTTTTGTTGCCATGTCTGATGCTTAGCATCACAGGAGTTCAGTTTTATGCTGTTTTTAGCCATACTGTAAATCATGTAATTTTTGCCAGCATGATATTTTTGCCAGCATGATATTGTGAATGACTGGAGCTCTCAAAAGTATCATGATGCAGTGTCCTCCTGGTTTGCCAGTTTCTATAATCCCTTGACAGTTAATGAATATCGGATTACATGCCAGTTCCTCGGCGTGCTGACATGTGAACTGTGTTCACCATATGCAAAATAAACTTAGTCAATGAGAAGACTAAAAGTGTACTTGATTGTGTATTTGATGAAATGAAAAGCATGTTAAATGTGTTAAAATGTAACAGTTCTTGTAAATAAATGGAAAATCCAATGACAACAGCTTGGGGATACTAGGGATACTTGAACAAAAGTTACTCAATCAGTATGTCTGATAGTCCAGACAGGCGCGCCAACCACTCAACACGCATTTGGTTTCTTTAGAGACCGTTTGATAGGCCGACAGTGAATCCAACGGGATAGGTTTCATCACACTTATCCAGAGATCAACAGCTTTGGTGAAGTCATTGTCAACAATTTAATAGAGGCATTCCAATTAGTATAATCCCTTTGAACTGTTTTAAGCTTATCTGGCCTGTGTAGCGTGTGTTGTTCTTAGTAAACACCACTGACTACATACACACAGAAGTACTCCACTGAGCTCAGCTCAAGATTAGCGGCAACCTTAAATATGTGTTTGGATTTACTTTAGATAGAACCTTCAGTTGCAATCTATTTTTGAGAATTTGGCAAGTCGCAAAAATATGACGCAAAACCGTCTGTTGGTCGGTACTCGCACAAATATCCTGATGCAAAAAATTCGTGATTTTCAGTATTCTAGCAATATCATGGCCAGGGACACCAGAAACGGGCTTCACACATTGTACCCATGTGAAGAATCAAACTTGAGCCATCGGCGTGACGAGCCAACCCTTTAACCACTAGGCTACCCCACCAGACACATTGTCTGTATTTGGGGGAAAAGTCTTTTGTGTTTTATGTGCAGACAAGAAACTACATCATATATGTTCAGCGAATTCAAGAGGAACATATATGTAATTTGTTTGAGTGGCATTTTAGAAGTTGAGACGTACAATATAGAACAAGTTTTATGGATAACAACTTCTTTATTTCGTGAGTGCGACGTTTCGATACAGATTCTTGTACCGTTGTCAAGCAAGAGTGATACATGAAGTGTAGGCGCTGCATATATATACTGTATATAACAATGAAACAACATAATAGACAAAGGAAACAACATAATTGCCATGATTGGCTAAGCAGTAAGCTGAAGAAGCCAGTGAGTACACAAAGGATAGTGAATGGAAGCCAGAGATGTAGTTACAATGAGATGTTTAAACAATAGATCGCGATGTTTATACAATAGATTGGGCTTGGTGGAGGAGTGGATCATAAGCTGATGGAATGAAGTATCCTTGGTCACGGTTGATGGTGGGCTTGTGGCGTTTGATGTGAATGGCTTCTGTGAGCTTGCGTTTAGTGAAATCCGTTTGGTTGTTGGCGAGAATGGTGATGTCGGACCACTCTATTTGATGATTGGGGTTAGCTTTGATGTGGTCAGAGATAGCTGACTTGGTGTCGAATTAGCAACAGAGGTCACGATGTTCTTTGACTTCGGTGTTGATGGTTCGGGATGTTTCACCTATGTAGCATTGTCCACAATCACAGTTTATTTTGTAAATAACACATTTCGGGTTGTTGTTGTTGGCGGTGGGTTGTTTTCTTCCATTGGCATGGAGGAGGTTGTTGAGGCTGGAGGGCGCTGAGAAGGTTGTGTCTATGCCTGCCTGTTGTTTCAGGAGTCGGCTGATTTGGTGTGATGGTTTACCAATGTAGGGAATGGATATCTTGATGGGGGCTGATTCTGGTTTAGATCTTTTGGCAGGAGGTGAAAGCGTTGCTTCGATGGTTCTGTTGACTATTTCAGGTGGGTAGTGGTTGCGTTCTACAAAGACTTCCCTCAGGTGTTCAATTTCTTCCTGTAGGTTCGTTGAGCAGATGTTTTTGGCTCTTCTGGTCAATGTAGAGATGACGCCGGTCTTGACTTTAGGGGGGTGGTTGGAGTTGTAGTGGATGTATTGATCCGTATGAGTAGGTTTTCTGTACACGGAGGTCTGGAGTTGGTTGCAGGAGGTGCGGGACACAAGGACATCAAGGAAAGGTAGTTGGTTGTTCTGCTCTGTTTCGATGGTGAATTTGATGCGGGGATGTTGGCTGTTGAGATATCCATTCCCTACATTGGTAAACCATCACACCAAATCAGCCGACTCCTGAAACAACAGGCAGGCATAGACACAACCTTCTCAGCGTCCTCCAGCCTCAACAACCTCCTCCATGCCAATGGAAGAAAACAACCCACCGTCAACAACAACAACCCGAAATGTGTGTTGTTTACAGATTACAGAGCACCGGAGTTGCTGTAATAAGCTGTGATTGTGGACATTTATCATGTGCAAACATCCCACATAGCTGCCTGAAAGGGTTATAGTTATACATGCAAACATCACCCATCCAAGGACCCGCTCAAGAACAACTTCACCTGATTTGTGACCTGAGCTCCAAGCACAGGACCACGATGCCACCAACCTGGCCAGCTCGGACAAGGAATAGTTTTATCCCGGAGGCGTCAGACCTAATGATATTTAAAGATGGTACTTTTGTTGCCATGTCTGATGCTTAGCATTACAGGAGTTTAGTTTTTATGCTGTTTTAGCAATACTGTAAATCATCATGAAATTTTGCCAGCATGATATTTTTGCGAAAATTGTGAATGACTGGAGCTCTCAAAAATATCATGTATCGGATTACATGCCAGTTTCACTGTCGACTTAAGCTCGGCTGTAGTGATTTGAATGCAGATAAAGTAAATAGACACATTTCTAACAACCCTGATGCGCTTGTGGATACCACAATGAAGATACTGTTCATTATATTTTTACATGTAAGTTATACACTGCTATTAGAAATAATACCTACTTCTATGTAAATGGCCACAATCTCCAAACTGTGTTATACAGAATGACCACATCAAAGCTAACCCCAATCATCAAATATAATAGGTCCCTGATCATCACCATTTGACAAATTATACTAACAATTAAGCGGCACTTCACTAAATGAAGTGTAACTGCAAGCTCAATGTTTATAAGCACCTACAAGCACACCAACAGCTTGGGGAAGACTAATTACTAGCAATACTAGTATTGACACATCACATATAAAACAAGGGATACTTGAACAAAAGTTACTCAATCAGTATGTCTGATAGTCCAAACAGCCACCCACTCCATCACAACATGATCATATTCTGGTCCCAATAGGTTTCATCACACTTATCCATCAACAGCTTTGGTGATGTCAACAATTTGATAGAGGCATTCCATTAATATAATCCCTTTGAACTGTTTTCCATCTGGCCTGTGCATCTGTGTTGTTTTTAGGAAAAATCTCTGATTGCATACACACAGATGTACTCTACTGAGATCAGTTCAAGATTAACGGCAACCTGTGATTGGATTTACTTTTTAGATAGAACTTTCAGTTGCAATCTATTATGTTGTTTCATTGTTATATACATGATGTAAAAACGCCTGCTGGTATACTGCAAACAATTCATGTAAATCACTCTTGATATTCTAGCAATATCATGGCCGGGACACCAGAACGGGCTCTGTACCCATGTGAGGAATCAAACTTGAGCCATCGGCGCGACGATCCAACCCTAAACTAGGTTGTTATCCATAAAACTTGTTCTATAATTCAAGGGCAACATATCTGTAAATTGTCTGGCAAACTTGGTTAATAAAAATTCGAAATTTGAGCATGACTAGACACAATGATTTACCATATAAAATATGGTAATGTTCTACTAAACATTGTTTTATATGCTGGTATTTTGATTACTGTGTGTATTGTCTCATAAACAGAGCCAGAAATTGCAATCAGTTGTGCACATGTTTCCTTCCCTGTGATGCAGTTAATACAAACTTCACGCATTTCACATATGTTGACACGATATAATCAAACTGCACCAAATGGGACTTTTAACGAATCAAAAATTGGCTTTTGTGATAAATACACCTAACATCTGTCAACTATAGTCAATGCTTCAATAGCAATAATTTGACCATGGTTGCTGTAAATAATGGCGAGTTGGTGTGCTGCTGTTAACTTCACGCATGAATTTGCTGAACTTAATCTCGGGCGATAGGGTAGAGTGATGGTTAAAGCGTCCGCTTGTCACGCTGAAGACCCGGGTTCGATTCCGCCACATTGGTACAATGTGTGAAGCCCACTTCTGGTGTCCCCCGCCATGATATTGCTGGAATATTGCTAAGAGCGTCATAAAATCATAATCAATCAATCAATCAATCACTGACTGAACTTAATCTAAACAATATTGGATGAAATTTTGAATGAATTTAAAAAAGGTCCAAAACATAAGTCCAATTATACATTGAACACTTTTTATAACAACACTTGATTAAATTGCGTATGTAATTTGTTATTTGTGGACATGTTATTTCCTGTGTTACAAGCTCATGGTCATGACTGCATTCAGATAAATATATCAGGA